TTGGAGAGAGAGAAAGGAAGGGATGTAGAGGAGAGAGAGACAGACAGAGAGAGAGAGAGAGAAAGCTCAATGTGAGAGAGAAACATTGATCAGTTGCCTCCCATACATGCCCTCACCTGGGATCGAACCCACATCCTAGGTATGTGCCCTGACCAGGAATTGAACCCACAACCACTTGGTGCACAGGATGATGCTCAACCAACTGAGCCACCCGGCCTGGGCTCCTTGTCTTCACTTTTCCAGTCCCACACCTATCACACCTGTCCCTGCCTGCCACACAATAATCCCTTAAAATGGTACTTTTACATTTCCAATGATTTCTTTAAAAGAAAATCACAGATTCACTTAGTTATTTAGATATCAAAGTTACAATATAGGACTTCATAAATAGGACCAGGGCTTTTTATAAGAATCTTGGTAGAAAATAGCAGAGGGAGAGTAATATTTGATAACAGACATTGTTTTCCAGCTTCCTTTTGTATATTTGTTGGGGTGACTAAATTATCAAATTGAACTAATAACCTGTATAATTTTGACACCATGAAAATACCTAAATGGGGGATAACCATTGAATTTGTGAATCTGTGTTCATTACAAGTTCTTTGAGCTCAGTTCCACAAAGTAGCCCTGACTTCAGCTCTTTTTTTAAATAGGGCAAGTCAGTGAATAATTTCTTTTTAAAACTGAGATACAGCCCTAGCCAGTTTGGTTCAATGGATAGAGCATCGAACTGCGGATCAAAGGGTCCCGGGTTTGAGTCCGTCCAAGGGCATGTACCTCAGTTGCAGGCTCCTCCCCAGCCCGGGTCCTGGTTGGGGTGTGTGCAGGAGGCAACCAATCGATGTGTTTCTCTCACAGCGATGTTTCTCTCTGTCTTTCCCTCTCTCTTCCACTCTCCCTAAAAATCAACGGAAAAATATCCTCGGGTGAGGATTAAAAATAAATAAATAAATAAATAAATAAATAAATAAATGAAATTGAGATACAATTGACATATAACATTATACATGTACATATTGTGACATGATCGCCACAGTAAGTCTAGTGCACTGGGAGAGGAGACCAACCCTCCGAAGGGAAGTACTAGTAGAGTCATGAGCAGCAAACTCCGGTTCTCCTGATGACGTGGTCTGCGCCCCTGACCTCAGCCACACCACCTGCCGACACCCCAGTTATGTGAGCCACTAAAACCCTGGTTATATTTGTGTTTGGGTTGCTTTCACTTTTGACGGAAAGATTTCTGATTTGCATGCTGCACTAGTTTCCCATTGCTGCTGGAACCAATGACCACAAACGTAGTGGCTTCAAACAACACAGCTTTATTATCTTCCAGTGTTGGAGGTCAGAAGTCTGAAAGGGTCTTAGAGGCCAAAGTGAAGGTGTCGGCAGAGCTGCGCTCCTTCTGGAGGCTCTGGGAAGAATCTGCTTCCTTGCCCTTTCCAGCAGCTGCGTTCCTGGCTCATGGCCCCTTCCTCACGTCACTGCCATCTCTCCTCCTACTGTCACCTTTCCGGCTCTCTGACTCTGACCCTCCTGCCTCCCTCTTATAAAGACCCTGGCAATTACACTGGACCCACTCAGCTAACCCAGGATAATCCCCTAAAGCAAGATCCTTAATTCGATCACATCTGCAAAGTCCCTTTTGCCATGAAGGTCACACAGTCACAGGTTCTGAAGATTCGGACAGGAGTATCTTTGGGGGTCTCTTGTTCTGGCCTCACGCATACTCAGGAAGCAGACTCGCGATTGACCGCTGGGAAGGCCACTTAGTGGCAAAGCAGTTTCCTTCTAGTTCTCCGGCGCTTACCTGGGAGTGCGGGAGGGGGACTGCTGGAGTCGGGCGAGGCTGTGGCTGGCGGGCCTCTGCCCCGCATCTCTGCATACTCCGCTATGGGCCTGAGGAGGGCCAGCGCTCCGGAACACTGCAAGTAATTGCCATCGAGGTGCAGCTCGCTGGGGAAGGGGCCAAATACACGGCTCGTTAGGTGTTATTTCCACTCTCTCAGATCAGGACTTGAGGTCTTCACCTCCTAAAATAAACGCTAATACTTAGACCTTGTTATAAAATAATAAATAACCATAATAAATAATAGACCAGGGCATGAAAAATAGACCTGGTGGCCTTGTTACTGGCCAGAGACATGCATTGAACACGACATCCCTGAATCTCAAATGTAAGTAGAGGATCTTGCTCTTATCATTAAGAAGAAGAAAACACAAAATAACTAGAGGAGAGAAAAAGATGATGAGAAACATATTGAAAAGTGAGGGGAACGAGTGGGCTCTGTCAATAAGCTGGTTATATAATTCCAGACAGAACCGCGCCGGAGGCAGGCTGGGTGACAGGGTCGCCTCTCACCAGATGGCGCTCTGGCAGATGACGGAGCCCAGGCGTGGCCCGCTCCGGGGCCCCAGACCACAGTAGCGCAGGCTGAGGCCTTGAAGCCTGTGGTTGTTCTCCAGGCCTGAGAAAATGCTCTCCATTTCTTCACTTTCAAATCTAAAAGGAAATGACAGGAACCAATTAGTGACTTTTAAGACCTATGTCACCCGCTGGGTTAGTCATTTTCAAGCACCCCTAGGGCAATTAGAGCCACTTATTATTTTTTTAATAAAATATTTTTATTGATTTCAGAGAGGAATGGAGAGGGAGAGAGAGAAACATCAATGATGAGAGAGAATCATTGATCACCTGCCTCCTGCACGCCCACCACTGGGGACCGAGCCCATAACCAGGCATGTGCCCTTGACTGGAATCAAACCCAGGACCCTTCAGTGAGCAGGCCGAGGCTCTAACCACTGAGAAAACCAGCTAGGGCTACAGCCACTTTTGCTGATCTTTGATTTGGGCTTCCTGGGCCAGGGCTGGCACTGGGGTGGGCTGGGTTGACAGAAGGAGCTGCCTGCGTGTGGAGGAAAGGGGCCTGGAGTCTGCCTTCTGAGCAAAGAGCAGTAGATGGTTTGAGTAGCCATGCAAGGGAGCGAATGGAGAGCGAGCTCTGAACCCTGCAGTCAGGAGAGATGGCCCAGCTGGCAGGGCCGAAGGAGTCTGTGGAGGCTCAATGGTACCAGAACTTTGTAAGGAGGGGGCCTTTAAAAAAAAGTTTTTATTGATTTCAGAGAGAGCAAGGGAGAGGGAGAGAGGGAGAAAAACACTGATGAGAGAAAATGAATCATTGATCGGCTGCCTCCTGCATGCCCCCTCCTGGGGATTGAGCCTGCAACCCAGGCGTGTGCCCTGACCCAGAATCGAACAGCAAACTCCTGCTTGATGGGTTGATCCTCAACAACTCGGCCACACGGGCCAGGCAGGAGTGGCCTTTTCAAGTTTGTCCAGAGCAGGTGCAGGGAAGTCCAACCTCCCAGTCCTCCTTCCATGGCCCTGGGTTGCTCCTCCCCTCCCACTGCACCGTCGCTAGAGGCTGTGGTTTCCCTTAGCCGCACTACCGCTCAACTTTCAGTGGTTCTCAACCTTCTGGCCCTTTAATACAGTTCCTCATGTTGTGACCCAACCATAAAATTATTTTCGTTGCTACTTCATAACTGTAATGTTGCTACTGTTATGAATCGTAATGTAAATATCTGATATGCAGGATGGTCTTAGGCAACCCCTGTGAAAGGGTCGTTCGACCGCCAAAGGGGTCACGACCCACAGGTTGAGAACCACTGCATATGGACATCTTTGGTGACATTCAGAGTCCACCTTACATTCCACATAATCAAGAAGAGCATGTCTCCTCTCCGCTGCTAGCCTGAGGGCTCCCTCGGACAGCAGCCTCACCTTGTGTATATTTGCATCTTCCTTAGCAATGAGCACAGGGTCTTGCACAGACAGGCCTTGGACAAACATTTGTTGAAAGAATAAATGAATGCCCTGACCGGTTTGGCACAGTGGATAGAGCGTTGGCCTGAGGACTGAAAGGTCCCACATTCGATTCCGGTCAAGGGCATGTACCTATTGGTTGTGGGCACATCCCCAGTAGGAGGTATGCAGGAGGCAGCTGATCGATGTTTCTCTCTCATCAATGTTTCTAACTCTCTATCCCTCTTCCTTCCTCTCTGTAAAAAATCAATAAAATATATTAAAAAGAAAGAAAGAATAAATGAATGATAGACGCTTTTTTGAGAACCCTCACATTCACTCAGGAACATTAACTCCAGGGAGGTTTTTCAGTGTCCCCTTTCAGTGATGACGTGATGAGACGCATGGAAAGGGGACATTGCCCTCCCCCGGCCTTGCCTCCCCCAGCTGACAGCAGTCAGAGCCGCACCTGCAGTAATCGAGGACAAGAGAATGCAAACTGCTGAACTGCAGAGCCTGCCCAACTCTCCCCAGAGACCACAGATCCATCTTGCAATCAATGAGTTCCAGGGTGGTCAGTGGGCAGGTGGCATGTCCCTTCCATTCCAGAAGTGAAGCCTGAGAATGCAAAGTAAAGAGTCCTTATGTGATAAAGTTAATATGCTCTCTGTGTTCATGTTACTTAAAAGTCAGTTGTCTTAAATACTTCAACATTCTTGCTTCTAAAATAACTTTCTACTTACCCAAGGAGAAAGTGGCATGCAAATAGAATAATTTCCCTTAAAAATGAAGACTCATCAAAGAATTATATGGGAGCTCTAGCCAGTTTGGCTCAGTGGATAGAGTGTCGGCCTGTGAAATGAAAGGTCCCAGGTTTGATTCCGGTCAAGGGCACATGCCTGGGTTGTGGGCTCAATCCCCAGTGGGGGACATGCAGGAGGCAGCCAATCCATGATTCTCTCTCATCATGGATGTTTCTATCTCTCCCTCTTCCTTATTCTCTGAAATCAATAAAAATATATTTTTAAAAACCACACAAATGTATTATTAAAAAAAATTATCTGGGAAACACCAAGCTTTATGATGAGATAAGATATATCGTAGCATGTCATTATGGGCTAAATGGTGCCCTTCCCCACTTTCATATGTTGAAGTCCTAATCCCCAGCACCTCAGCATGTAATTCTATTTGCTGAGATGGTTCCTTTAAATAGGTAATTAAGGTAAAATGAGGTCATTAGGATGACCCTAATGGAATCAGACTGGTGTCCTTATGGGAAAAGGAAATTCGGGCTCAGATTTGCGCAGAGGGAAGACGATGGGAAGACACAGGGAGAAGATGACCATTTACAAGCCAAGGAGAGAGGCCTCAGAAGAAACCGACCCTGCTGACACCTTGGCTCAGACTTCTAGCCTCTAGAACTGGGGGGAAATACATTTCTATCGTCTGAGCCGTGCAATCTGTGGCACTTTGTCATGGCAGCCCTAGCAAACCAACACAGATGCTCACAGTCTGACCAACACGTGTTCATCCTCCTATGGTTGTGTTCTTTAAAGTAGAGAAGTGCTGCTGTGCCGATCTTACACTTAAAGTTATAACAGTTAAAGGCTCTCGCCAATGACTCATTTTCATACTTATAGATATTACTAGGATTGGGGGTCTCCTCAGAACTAGACTGTGCAAATGCAGGAACGAGGTGCTGCTCACATTGACACAGCTGGACTGGGGGCGACACGTGAGCGTTTGGAGCCATCGCCTGCTCCCTGGGTTCCTGAATGGAGGGGTCAATGGCAAGGTCATTTCTTGTGGTAACAAATGATCCCGGTCACAGTGAAGTCCCTACCTTCCTGACAGGGAAGGGCCGTTAAAGCTACAAATCACAAAGGCCCCCTCTTAGCAATTAGAAGCACCACCACCTGAGGATTCCCTCCGTTCTGAATTTAAGCCTGAGAGAGGCCTGGGGGAGGTCTGGAGGATTTAGGGTTTTTTGAGGTAATGACACGTTGGTCAGAGATAGGATTCCAAATTATACCTCGGCTGAGAACAAAAAAGCACTCGCAACCTCGACCGCAGCGCCGGTGCTGAGGCCTCTTTAATGAGGGGAGGCCTGGGCTGGTGGCGGATTGGATTTCTCAAGCTGCTGCTGACAGAGGAGCCCTCACTGCCTGGTCATGCTGGTCTGTGCAGAACAGGCTCTGCCAGGTCCCAGAGACCTGAACCAGCGGTCTGCCGAGTCCCTCCGGGGCTCACGCCCTGCTGTGGGCAAGACCACAGCCATCTACCAGGACTTTCTCAGCAGCCGCCATCTCGCCACGAGGGCCACGCTTTCAGGAACTGTGAAGGGTCACTTAACATGCAGGGACAGCGCTGTGTTTCTGACTTAAATGGACTATGTACCTTGACTGACCCTCTGAATGAAAACAACTAAAAATTCTGGTTATATATTTCAAATCGTTGTAAATTGTGGTCATATACACATAAAATGTACCATCTTCACCATTTTCAAGTGCGCAGTTCAGTGGCGGCAAGTACCTTCACAGTGTCGTGCAACCGTCAGCACCATCCTTCTCCAGAACTTTTTCGTCTTGCAAAACGGAAACTCTGTGCCCAATAAATAACGCTCATTCTCCCCTCCCCCCGGCCCCTGGCAACTAACTGTCACTCTTTCTGTCTCTGAATTTGACCACTCTGGGGACTTCATATAAGTGGAATGATTTAGTATTTGTCCTTTTGTGACTGACTTATTTAACTTACAATAAGTTCTTCAAGGTTCATGCTGTAGCATGTGTCAGAATTTTTAAGCTGAATAATATACTATTGTATGTATATACCACATTTTTTTTTTCATTTGCCTGTCCATTTGGATTGTTTCCACCTTTGGCAATGTGAATGTTGCTATGAACACGAGAGTACAAATATCTCTTTGAGACCCTGTTTTCAATTCTTTTGGCCATATACTCAGAAATGGAATTGCTGGATTGTATGATAATTCTATTTTAATTTTTTGAGGAACCTCCGTACTGTTTTCCATAGTGGCCGCATCCTTTTACATTCCTACCAACAGTGCACAAGGGTTCCAATTTCTCCACATCCTCGTCAACATGTTATTTTCCGCTCTTTTTTATAGTAACCACCCTCGT